CCCAGCCTCAATGGCTTGCATCCCAGCCTCAATGGCTTGCATCCCAGCCTCAATGGCTTGCATCTCTTTTTAAATGGCTAAAGCCAACATGGCTTTGGTGCCTTATTTTCTATAGCCTGCATGGCTTACTGCTTTGGAAGCCCTTGGTGGCTTTGAGTGATCAAACAATAGCCTTTATGGCTTCCAAGCCTGAATGGCTACTTGTGTACTGATTGTATTGGAATGTGTAGAAATAGTGTTTTTGTTGAACATAATTGAACTGACATTTCAGTTATTTGATGTTATCAGTATGTTATCATACAAATTGGGTAAAACTCATTTTTTGTATGTTAAAGAAACCAGGTGTGCTTGAGAACCAGTGTAAAAGAATAGTGTATATGTTCCAACTATTTCATGTCACTACATGACTGCCAGGCTTTAGGTTTACAGTGAATGAGTGACTGAAACAGTGAAATGGTGACTGAATGGCAATGGATGCTCCTCACAAGCTGTTGGATATTCATCACTTGTATTGGGGCACAAAGCTAGTGTTCAATGGAGCTGATGTAATGAAACTTAGATTGTTTGAGATTGATTTTTTATTTAACTGTTTATTATGTAAGTACCTTTGTTCAGAGCAGTCTCCTGGACCAAACCATGCCTCAGGATTTTCAAGAATGAGTACTACAGCAATGTCAAATACTCTATGTGGAAGTGGGTGGGGAATACAAGATGGAGAGTGGCCCACGGCCGGGCCGCCTGTCTGGGAGCCCTGACCGTTTGGGGGCCCCTGTCCTCAGCGGACTCGCCGATGATCACGTCGAAGGTACCACCCTGAGGCGTGTGCACGAACCCCGAGGTCTGAAAAGGGTCGAAACCAACAAGCTGGGCTTCTCCCTGAAGGGGTGAAGGGGTGCGTTTGTTTGTCCGAAGTTTGTCCAACATGAATTAGATGTTACTGTAGTTTGATTGCTGTTTGGCTGATGTTTGTTATTGTTTGTTCCTTTTGTCCTTCTCTCTTGTGTCTCGTTCTGTCGGCGCTCCATACCCATTCACAGTCAGGCTGCGGCGTTGTGGAAGAACCAAGATTCCCGCCTGCACGATGTAGAAGTAGTCCGCGTTCAAGTCGCCTTGAGAAAGATTGCGGGCATCTGAAGTGGTCTCCGGCTGTGCATGCGCAGGGGCATGGACGAACCAACCAAGAGTTGTGTTGGGACGATGCTCTGACTACTCCAACCACTCACTCACCTAGTCTTCCATGACCTACCCACTTGGATGGGCTGGGCCTCTGCTAGTAGGTTAAGATGATTAAGATGTTTAACTAACATATTGTTAACCACTTGCTTGTCATATGATAACCATATGTTAACATATTGATAACATGTTACAAAGCTTAAGATGTTTAGCTAAAAGTTACATTTTTTAGCTAACCATCTTAAACATGCTAACCGTTTAGGAGGGTTAGCATGGTTAGCTATGTTTTTTGGGTTGTATTGTTTTATATTACCAAGTTTGCAGCAAATTGTGTCCTGGCAAGTGGAAATTTGTTGCTTGAGTCATAATTCAGCACAAAAGTTTAAAATTGTACAAGAAACTGCATTTAAAAAAACAGCTGGCCATGTTAAGTTTTTGTGATTGCTTGAAGCACCTATCCAATCACTTTTCTAATTTGATTCCGATCCAAATCACATCTAGAATTTGTTTGCTGACAGCAAAATTTATTGTAGCTGTGTTTGCAAACCTGGCCCTGGCTAATGCTGAACCAAAGAATGCAAAATTTTGGCTGGCCATGCCAGTGACATTGCTGGCCCCTGCCTTCCAAATTGTTTTGGTGCCTTTACATGGTAGCCCTTTGGTGGCAGGCTCACTAGCCTTGGCAATGTATCTGTTTGCTAAGGAGTTGAAATAAGGACATCCAAGCCTTGATGGCTTTGTCAGCCCTTTGGTGGCTCTATGCTTAGCCAGCCTCCAGGCTGCAATGGCAAATTTACTAACAGCCCTGGTGGCTTTACTTTGCAAGCCCTGGTGGCTTTATTTTGCAAGCCCTGGTGGCTTTACTTTGCAAGCCTTGAATGGCTAATTAGCTCACAGCCCTGGTGGCTTTGTTCTGCAAGCCCTGGTGGCTTTGTTCTGCAAGCCTTGGTGGCTTTGTTCTGCCAGCCCAGGTGGCTTTTCTATGCAAGCTTTTAATGGCTAATTTGCTCACAGCCCTGGTGGCTTTATTTTGCCAGCCCAGGTGGCTTTACTTTGCAAGCCTTTAATGGCTAATTTGTCACAGTTTTGGTAGCCTTTGCTGTACAGCATTGGCTTGAGCCAACCCAAGTGTTGGTTCATTGTGGCTGGGAAATGGCTTGAAACTGCAATCCTGGCTTAAGTATTTCAATAGCTTCTGTGCACTGCAGCCATGTCGAAAGTGCCACCCAATGTGAAAGGCAAAGTGGATGAGATCCTTGCCAGTGAAAGTCCTGTACTTGTCAAAGTTCAAAGCCTTGTGGACCACTTGACTGAATGTGGCTTGGCTTATAAAATGATGGTCAAGCCAAGTGAAGTTTTGACCCACCCTGACAACAGGGCAGGACAAATGCTTTCAGCATTAGACTGCTGGAACAAAGGAATGAAGATGTGGAGTGTTGGAGTGAGAAAAGAACTCCTCACCAGCTCAGTGGCTTTTGAATTGGCCATCAATACTGAGACCAGGGAAAAGCAGCTGCAGTCCAATCAGAGACTGATTGAAAGTAGTAATGGACTGCTAGCAACCATTAGTGGCCAAGAAAGGTTTCTCAGTGTTTCCAGCAGCCACATGGCTGCATGGCTGAAAGCTGTGGGCTCTGGGTGTGCAGGGCCAAATGACATGGGGCCACTGCAGCTGAGACAAGGTGACAGCAACAGTGATGTTGTGTCAGCACTGCTGCAGGATGGCTGGATGTGGGTTGTAATGAGCAGTGCAGTGGAAGAAGAATGGCCTAAGTTGCCAGGTTTCTTGCAAATGGCCCTGAACAGCACCAATTCTTTGAACAAGCAGTTGTCAGAAATTGAATGTGCTGGTCAGCTTGCCCAGGGTGTATTGCATGGTCAAGCTCTGAATGTGGCCTTGGAAGAGTTAAAAGCATGTGCACCTTCCTGCAAGAGTTCCCTGGAAGCCATTGCAACCTATGTCTCCAGATTTGGTGGTGGTCAGAAAATGGAATTGGTGCTATTTCTCCTCAAGTTCAGCTCTTAGGCTGCAAATAGGCATGCTCACAATGAAGTATAGTTTACCTGAGTGTAGCATGTGTAACCATGGACTATAGGCTTTTGGTTGGTCAGCCTCCATGGCTTTGTTCCAAAAACCTGATAGTCCCTGCAGTGGCTTGTTCTAGTGGGTGGCCAGATGTTCTGCATTTCACTCAGGCAAAGCTTTTGCTACTGTCATGATTGGGGAAGAAATGATGAAAGCCATCACCTACTTTGACTTGAAGGGTGAGCAGAACCTGGTGCCATTCTTCAGAGCAAGCATGCTCTTGGCTTGAATGGTCATTGGCAATGTGTTTATTGTTTTCTTTTATGTTGTTGGGACCAGCACTTCACATGCAAATGATGCTCTGTGAACATTCCAGCCTAGGTGGGCCACAATGATGACAGCATCCAGGCAAGTGGATGGAGTGGCAAAACTGCTGAGTAAATCAGACATTGAGAGGCTGAAGGCGCCAGCAGTGAAACCAAAAGTGTTGGAGGGAGAGTGCCTTGGCCCAATTGTGTTTCCCCCACAAGCTTCTGATGTACCAAAAGCTTTGGCACCAAAGTAACTTCTTCCTTAGTGGCTGAAACATAAGCCCAATGAAGGACACTTTTGCAAGATGCTTGGGCATTGCTTCAAAGTTCTTTGAAACCAGAGACCTTCAAAATGGCATGCTTTGGGCGATTGGCAACCAGAGTGTGCTTGCATGTGATGCAGAAAGAGAAGCTTGGGAGAGAAGCTGAAGGCCACCCTGACCTTGCAAGCATTTCCCAGCTATTCACTGATGAATTGAGTGGCACTGCTGTGTCAAATGAACAGCACAAAGCTGATAGCAGTGAATCTCTGGAAGTCTGTGATACTTTGCACATGTCCAAAAAGAAAATGGCTTTGCTGCAGAATGTGCATATCAAAGAGAAAGAGAAGCAGCCTGGCCCATGAGTTTGTTTTCCATGTTGCAATTCATTTTTGTGTTGGCCAAAATTCAAATTGGTGGACACTCTTTTGTTTGTTTTGTTTTCATGCCAAGACATCCATTCTTCCCAACCCTAGGTACCACCACAAGGACTTCCCCCACAAGATCTTTCTTTTGCACCAGGTGACTGAGGTCCACTGCCTCTTCATCCACCAGCCATTGTTCCAAGCGCCTCTGGAAGTCAAGGTGGACTTCTTGAATTTGAAAGATTGGAGGCCAACCAAAGCACCAATGTCATTGGCATGCCCCCTGCCCAAAGCAGAAGCCCACATGGTTCAGAAGCATGGTGCTGTTGAATTGGAGCTTCAGAAGAGCCATGTGCAGAAGTGCTTGCTGCAGGCTTGCCAGGACAATGACCCTACTTGCAATGATGTGGTCTTTTCCTGCAGCCCACAACATGTGTGGGCCTCAAAGAAGATTTCCAAGAAGGGTGGGCTCAAGCTATACCCTTGTGGCATTGTGTCCTTGCTCAAAGGCACACCTGCTTCTGAAAAGCACTACATCAAGGCCTTTGGAAAGATGTGGCTGATTTCAGCTATGAAAGCTTTGGTCAATTTTGAAAAGGATGAAGGTGTGTTGAGCCCATTTTGGTGGGTCAAGTGTGCAGGGGACCATGAGGACCACAACATGGCCTTTGGTAAAGTGACAGTTGAAGGCTGCAAAATCCCTGTTTTGCAGAACATTGGACCTATCCAGGCACATGAGTGCTTGCTCATTGAGAACCCAAAGGACATTGCCAAGAAGAAGAGGAAGGCTGACAAGCCTGACACAGCCAAATAATGCTTTCCAAGTCTGGGATTGGCGCCCCTTCCTGGATACCAAATGGTCCAAAGACTGATCAGTACTCTGCTAAAACCTGTGCAAAAAGTACAAGCTTGCTGTCTTTGCTTTGTGTTGCTGCCAGCCCCAGTGGCTAAACACAAGCCCCAGTGGCTAGTGTTGTCTTGAAGCCTGGATGGCTGCAATACCTTGCAAAAGCTTCCATAGCTATGGGTCAACTGCACTTTCTTGTTGTTGCGGCCTTGGGCTTGCCAAGGTCTTTGCCAATGATGCCAAGCTTTGACTGCAAAGTTCTGGTTCAAGAGGTGCAGTTGTGCAGCCATGGCTGATGTGAGGATTAGGTCCAGCATTGATATTCAATGTGGAGAAGGCAAATGGATTCATGTGCCACCTACCTTACTGGAAGAACATCAAGGGCAACAATTCTTGAGGCTGAGGCCATCTTCACATCCTATTGTTGCTTTGGTGACCCAGAGCACTGTGAAGCAAAATGCATCCTTTACAAGCAGCAGCAAGCTGCAAGAGTTGCTGAAGATGAGGAATGAAGCTGCTGCCACACGGCTTTCCCAAGACAATGATGGAACTGAAGCTGATGAAAGCAAAGAAGACATGTGGAAAGATGCTGCACCCCAAAAGGAAAGTGCTACTGAAAGCAAGAAAAGAAAACTTGAAGTCCCTTCTGGCAGCTATGTGGTGGAGATTTCAGTAGCTGGCCAGGTTGTGCACATTTTGTGCCAAGGCACTAGACCTTCCAAAGCAGACCTTCTAGTGAGACTGGTGCCTGAGGACCTCAGTGCAATCTTTGCCTTCCTGAAGGATGATGTGAGTGAAGCTACCAATGCTGCTAAAAGGCAGTATTCCAAGAAGGAGAAGAAAACACTGTGAAAGCCAGAGCTGAGGTTGAAAAAGCAGCAGCATGTTTGTGAGTTTGCAATGGCTTCTATCTTAACCTTCATCGCTTGTACCCCAGCCTCAATGGCTTGCATGTGCCCCCCCCCCAATACTTTCCAATAAAGCTTTGAGGTTTTGCATCTCATCCTTTTCCACTGGACCCTCATGGATTGCATCTTTGCTTGGAAATCAGGTTCAATTGTTTGAATCATAGCCTGAATGGCTTGCATCCTAGCCTCAATGGCTTGCACCCCAGCCTCAATGGCTTGCACCCCAGCCTCAATGGCTTGCATCCCAGCCTCAATGGCTTGCATCCCAGCCTCAATGGCTTGCATC